AAGGTTTCTACTTTTATTAACAACATTTTCATCTTATTGTAATAGAGTTGAAAGGTCAGTAATTAATATTTTTGATTCCCTTAAGAAATATTTCCTTCTGCGAGGCAGAAGACAAATTTTAAAACATATGTTGCAGGAAAACAAAGGCCCTGGTTCATGGTACTTCATCAGACCACTTGAACAGAGGCATTGGTTTCAGGGAAAGGATTACCAACTGGCCTAACACGTAAAAGGCTAATAACTAAAGGGTGTGATGGAAACAACGGCTCTGAACCTTTCTTGCAGCTTCAAAAAGAAGACAAAGGACAGACACACATGTATGAGATGTTAGGTGTTTAGTAGTTAGAGTGATTCCACACGCCACACCTGGAACCAGCTTTGTCCCATTAAGGGGATGCTTCTTCCCAACTTCAGCTGATGAGCTGGTCTTCAGTGGAAACTGATGCATCCCAGAGCTTCCCTCCCAGCTCAGGTTAGCTATTCAGTGTGACATGGCACAAGTACCTTGGACAGGGCAGTAAGGAATTTAGGTTCTAGGCCATTTGGGCCACTGAAGGGGTACCTGGCCCTGGGCAACCATGAACCTCACTCCCCCTCAGCTGCCTCACCTGCAAACCCAGGGGGTGGGACTAAGGGACCTCCGCGATAACTCTGGGCTTGAACACTCTATGACTTAACAATTGCTAGGGAAAGGTGTTAATCAGTAGCACAGTGATTTTCTCCCTTGGGGTTTGGTGTTTCTTCAGTCCAAATTTCTTTCAATCCCATTTTTGTTTTTTGGGTCAGGTGCCAAAGACTCAAGGTAATTTGCTTTATACAATAAATGAGGTGTAAATGCAATGTTTCTAAATAAAATGGCATTTCAAAGTCACCATCTTATTAGAGAAAGGAATCTGGAGGTAAATATTTCTGTAATACAAATACCCACATGGCAAGATATCTCTTTAAAACGAATCCAGAGTTTCATTTGTTGGTTTTATATAAAGTGAGGGCAAAAGAACTAGGAACCAAATAAAGTATATAATATTAATTAAGTACATTTGTGGCCGGTTGCCACACAATGCCAAACACTGGACCACTCAGTTAAAACCATCTGTTAAAAAGTTAAGTATCATGTAGATAACTGGTTATTGTGAGTTTCTCATCTTTTAATGAGTTATTTTGTCACTGTGTCGACACAACCTACGTGAAAGGTTTTTCTTTCCTAAGAATTCACATATCATTTGCACTTATTCAGTTACAAATGATTCTTTTGGGGGGAACTGATCTCATAAATGATTTCACCTAATAGATCAAGCTATCTTGTCTCCCAACACATCTTTTCCATCTTCTAAGCTGATGAAGGTCTAATTAATTTTGGCCTTCACAACTGACCCTTCAATACTGGGAAGAGCCATTCTCCTTTATACTGCATCTAAGCAAATTTAGGTTAAAATAAATTTGCTTCAAAACTCCATGTATTCACATTGAGGTTGTGGAAAAAAAAACAGGGCAGAGACAATTGCTTCTTTTTAATGGACAATGAACTAATTGGGAGTGTACGCTGGACTTTTTAAGGGTGATAAATCAACTCTAAAAATGTTTTTTTTAAATCTTACACCAAATTGGAGGCTTGATGATCACATATTACAAAGAAAGTAAATGAAAACTATTCCACCATGACGGGTAGACTTCACAGAACACCCATTCCTTGGAGTAACCTGAAATGCTACATGGATCTTGGAGGAAATTCACACAGAAGAGCTGCATACGCTAATGAACAGTGTCCCTAAAGGCAAGTCTAGGCAGTGAAATCTGGCTCTGTGTCCTCCGTGTTTTCTCTCCTGGTGTCAAATGTGTCACCTACAACAGAGACAAGAAGATGAAGGGGGCGGCTTCTCTAAAGGAGAGTTGCACACTTTCCTATGACACGGCTGGAGGTAGGTATTCTGGATAAGTGAAGAACGTTGTTGGAGACATGTCTGTGTTTCATATTTAAATCACTAATTTTTAGCCAAGGCTTTAATTGTGCTAAATGAGCAATTTTAGCCATTAGAAATTTGTCATCATTAATTTTACAGGGAAGCCTATGAATGTGTATTACTATTTGAGCGTGTCCATATACTGTCCAGTAAGAGAAAATGGCTAAATATGATTTACCTGTAAAACAGAATATCACGTAGCTATTAATGTGTGTGAAAATTTGTAATAAGATGGAAAATGCTTTTTAGGTTAAAAAAAACAACACAGGAAACAAAATTTTATGTATTTGATCTCCACTGTGTAAACAAAATAAATATAGTGAAAAGTGGGAAAAAACACCCAATAATGGTTGTCTCTGGGTGGTAAAATTCAAGTAATTTACATTTTCTTCCTCATACTTTTATTAATTTTTAAAAAGTATGTAAAAGAAGGCCAATTTATGACAAAAATTGCTAAGCCCAAATGAGTTCTGTACTACTCTATTTCAAATTCAGAAGCCTCCTTTTTAAATTTTAGAAAATTTGAGGTTTAAAAAAATAAGTTTTATTTCTTCCCAACACAAATCTGTTGGGATTTTCTTCCCAAGTCCTGGGTGCTTTTCCTTCGTTATCAGAGCACTCTCTCCACACCTGCATTCAGCAGGGTGTCACGGCCTCTGTCCCCACACAGGCTGGGGCTCTGGGGGCTAGCCCTTGTTCACCAGAACCTACCACAGTGCTGATTGCCAGGAGCTGCTCAAAAAAGGCTTACTGATGGGGTTGAGGAAAAAGAAATCAAGAAAATATGTTTTTCCACTATAAAATCTGTATCCATTTTTGTTAAAACTAGACACAGAGAAGGTTGCTTCAAGGTAATGGATTGAAACAAATGTCACTGGACTGCTTGACTGTAACCTTGACCTGGTCGATTTTGGTTCATAGAAACACTTAAGGATTTACACCCCCTCCTCGCCCTCCCCAACACATGAATTTGGAAGGAAAAATAAAGGTAATAAAGGCATTGTTAAATCTTTAAAAAGGACCAACTGTTGCCAGCTCAGATAAATGACATAAGGAAGGTCTGGCAGTAGAGTCTCAAATCCAAGGATGAAGCTACCTGTGCAAGAAAGGGGGAATTCACCTTGCAGACAGTCGCTTTAGGGCACACATGAGGAGGAGGAATTAGTAGTAGTGCTGTATTCAAAGAAGCCACCAGACTGGAACTGTACTTTAGAGGCACTCAAGAGACGTGCCAGTCTAATCAAGATTATTTAATTTCATTACTGCAAAATTTGGGCACCCATCTGATTTCTTTTCCCCTTTCTCAATGGTAAATGGTATTATTTATCATGCTGTTCAGTAATTTGTATCAAATATCTATCCACAGTCTAGGGAAAGGCCCTGCAGGGGTGTTCTACGACAGTCTTCCTTATGACCTTACAGCCTTGGGCAAGATCTGAGCAAGAACTCCGTGAGTTTACACTGCGGTGGACTTCAGGTAGCCTTACTACGGACATTCTAATTGTGAAGACTGAGAGACACTGAAATGGAATCCTAAAGGGATTAGTACATCCATCAACTCTTAGGATCTTTAAGAAACATGCAGAGGAAAGCTGGCTTTGGCTTAGGTATAAGAAAGCTATGTGGTGTAATGGCTGGGAGTCGACAGGCCTGGGCTTCTGCCAGGCCACCAACCAGCTGTGGGACCTTGAGAAAGTCATTTAGTGTTTCTGGGCCTCAGGCTTTTTTACCTGTAAAATAAAAGGATGGGATAAAAAGAAGGCATGGGACTAGATGATCTCTAAGGTTCCTTTTTTCTCAGATTCCTTGAAATTCTTTTCAGTTCCTTGAGGTAGTTCTACCATCCCCTGTGTGTAGTTTTCTCATCTGAAACATCTCTCTGCCTCCATCTTCAGAGAGGAAGATACAAAGGTATTATTTCAAGGGGAATGGTTTTCAAATAATAATAATTTTAAAAAGCCCACTGTGTCAGATGACAATGAGGACGGGCAGTGCAAATGCCCTGGGGGCAAGGGAGCTGAGAAGGGTGGGAGAGGAACTCTGGAAAGCACAACTAGAACAGCCTGGTATTCCTCCAAAGGGCCTCCTGAAATGCACAATTTCATTATTAGTAGTAGCGTTTCATGCATCTGCTGGGAGTGGGCCGGGGGTGATAAGAACAAGGCTAATATGAGTTGTCCTGATATTCAGAGAAGGACAGAATGGAAAGGAACAACAGCGATCATCCATTTCAGTTCTCTTAATTCATAAATGTGGAAACAGCCAAACAAGACGAGAAATCCCTTTTATATGACTATGTACAGTAAGAACTTGAAATAAGCAGGTCCTTTTTGTACTACCTGGCTCATTTCTTTTATTTGTCCTTCAATCTGTTGCTTAGCTACTCCAAGACAGAGAAGGCACTGTCTCATTTACATGGCTCAGTTTTCTCACTGCTCTGAAGTTTACTAACATGTCTATCATGCACCTACGAACTCTGCTTTTGTTGCCATCTCAGGATAAGTGCTATCAACGAACACGCAGTCTAGTATGGTTTCTACACAAACTAGCTACCCCATCAATATTTGCTGAATTTAAAACTTACCACCCCACATCTAGAGTTGAGCTTTTTCACTGAGAGGGTTTTTTGCGGTATCTGGGTTTTGTGGGCAGAGAATCTTCAGGTATTCTTTTGAGGGCAGTCAATAAAGAGTCCTGAGACCAACTGAAGGAATAAATTATTTGTCACATGGCCCCTTGATCAGACACCTGTCCTTTGGGCTCTCAGGTATGAACTAATGCAAAGGCAGAAGGCCAGGGTCACAAGCCTTACTGGAAAGTCAAATAATGTGTAGTCAGAATTATGTCCATGGCTTAACACTGTAGCAGATGCTTTAATGAAATGTACTCGGCTGATCTGGTTATCTGATACTTTCAACAGTATCAGGAGTGTGCCACCCATGCTGGATGGATTGGCTTACTCACTCACTCAATTGAAACACTGTATTCATTGGCTGCCCATTCTATGAAGAGCAATGACTGCTTCTCAAAGCTCTGTGGGGGGAGGTGGGAGAGGACAGAATGGACATGAATCTCATCATAAAACTGGTGATCCCTGTTCTAAACAGAAATGTCATTTCATGTTAAAATACTTTCTAATATCGAAAGGTTTTGGGAGGCAAAGTTTGTGACACTAAGTTCTTAGGACTTGCTGTTCTGAGGTTTTCAAGAATATGAAACAGACTGTGAGAAAAATGTAGCCTTTCGTATTCAATGTGAAAAATCTCTGAACACAGGGCACTGGGAACCTCTGATTACTTGGTCTGGGTCTGTAAGAGAAGCCGTGTGCTCAAGCATCTTGCATCTCTGATGTTAAAAACATTTTCAATGCAAATATTTTCATGTGCTGTATTTTCCAGCGGGTGATGAAAATGTAAATGTGTTTTACCTGTTGGTGGTAGAGAAACGCCGTCCAGTCTTTCATCACCGTCAGCCACCTCTGCTGGTTACAAGCATAAAACACAAATCTCATTAGTTTCAGGGATCACATTCATTTTACCGAATACAGTAATATAATTTAAAAACTCCAATATACATAATAGTTTTCACCTCTCTTTTCCCTTTATAAGCTTCAGCTGGTTCACAGTACAGACTTTAGTACCATCATTTAAATAAAATATTTTTTTAAGATGATGATATAACATCAATATTCCTATATTAAAATTTTTTTATGTCTCATGAATCTTATTCTATCAATCATTGATCATTTCAGTTCATTTTCACTTATTTACATATGCTTAAACATCCACTCAGAATCGGGTGAATTGTTTAAATAAGATCACCAAAGGCACAGAGGTCAATGACCTGCTATGGTAGAATTTCACTTGTCATCCTCAGAACTCTTCCTGTGCGGCAGGCTTAGGAAATCTTGAGAACGAACCTTTCTTTGGAGATGACTGGCAGTTCAGATCCTAGAGCTGCCAATCTTAAACTGGCATCAATTCAGTCATAAATAAAATCAGAAGCAATAAGTGTTTCTTCAAAAGATTTATCACTTGTATGTTTTAAAATGCAAACCTTTGCTCATCTCTGATATATTTTAACCTCCTTGAACAGTTTTCCAAAGGTAGATCCTGCAGTCACAGAAAACCTTCCACAGAACACAAAAAAGAAGGTGCCCACATGTCTCCTGATAACTGACGGGCTTGTCAGTGTCCCCAACATGCTGGGGACAGGTCAAAACATTTCATTATGGCCATTTGGTAAATTCTGTCAGTGCTCCCTAGGTGCCAGGGCTAGTGGCCTCGATGGCAGTTTCCTGCTCGCAGGCACCTCCCTGCTGCCTGCACACGTGCACGTGAGGCCAGTCAAATGAGGGCTGCCATGGGTATCACGTTGCAATGCTGAGTTGGTGGGAAGCAAAACTAACACTATGTTCTTGTTTTTATTGCTGTTGCTTAAACACAATCAGGGTGCAGATATGGCTAGAGACGTTCAAAGATTTCCACTCTGATTTACCCTCTCACACCTTGTCCTCAGATTGCTACACTCTGGCATCAGCGAAAGACCCATTGTCTGCTGACCTGCTAACTCCACCACAAAGAGAGAACACTGAGACGAGACAGAATGGTCAAGACCGATATTGGTTGGAGAAGAGTAGAAACTGCTAAGAATGATCTTGTAGTTGAACATTATTAATAACGTAAAAACATTCAAGTCAAGCAATAGGATAAATGGTCAGATTAAAATTTTGTGAATAGGTTTATAGACAAAACACAGGAAGGACGTACTAAAATGTTAACGGTGTTTCTCTCTGGATGAAAGGCTTATAGGTATTTAAAATTTTGTTCTGGGCCGGCCCTGTGGCTTGGCGGTTGGGTGCGCACGCTCTGCTGCTGGCGGCCCGGGTTCGGATCCCGGGCGCGCACCGACGCACCGCTTCTCTGGCCATGCTGAGGCCGTGTCCCACATACAGCAACTAGAAGGATGTGCAACTACGACATACAACTATCTACTGGGGCTTTGGAGAAAAGAAAGAAATAAATAAAATTATAAAAATATTAAAAAAAAATAAAATAAAATTTTGTTCTTTGGGGTTTTTAAATGGTTCTATATATTTGAAAAATAATGAACCTAAGTTATTTTTATATTTAGAAGACATTATTTTCTTCTAATTGGTTTGAGTGAATCTGAATATAGGTAGATGAACCACCTGGTAGTTCTTTCCTTGGCTAGGATTTTGAAAATTCTTCAGTAATAATAATAGCAATGACAGCCACCACCATTTATTAAAAGCTTACCATTTACTGGGCACTTTACATACATTGTGTCAGTTAACCCTCAGAAAACCCTACAAGGTAGGTCTGTTATTATGTCCATTTTAACAAATGAGGAAACTGAGAGAGATAAAGAAACTAAGATAATACAGGTAGTAAGTGACACCGCCAAGGATCTGAACCAGGTTAATGCCTGGGCTCAGAATCTCTTTGCTATTAACAGTCTATAAATATAGCACTGCATCATTTTGAGCTTATGTTTCAAATCTTCAAGTTTAAGTTCATTTTATACTTCAGTGACTTTGTCTACTTCACATGTATAGTTGCTTTTCATTTAGTTATAACCAAAATCGGTTCTGGGTATAAGTTCCTCTTCCCTTTGTAATTCATCCTCACTTTTTAAAAACAGCCTATGCAATTACGTGCTTTAGAAAGGACAGAACATATACAACCAAAAAATATGTAAATTATTATATATAAATTAATATATGCTAGCTGCATGAACAGGGCCAAGTGTCATGGATGAAGAACATGACAATGTTACTTAAATTTAATTATAACATGTGTCTGTAACAACAAGCTCACAATCTTTCTTCCCTGATGACAGTGAAATTTGGAAAAGATTGAGCAAGTCTAATAAAAATTTAATAGCAGTGACAGCTTTACTCTTAGATCCAATGCAAATAAAAAATTGTGATTTCAGCTCCAAGGAAATAATCTAATGAAAATGATAAAAATCCACACCAGGAAAGGAATCATTCCAGTTATAGAAAAAAAATTATTACATGTGATAAGAGCCCCAAATGAGTTTCTATTTGGATTTGCATAACAACCTTTCAAATCGGCGTGGGGTACTTCTTTTTTCTAGAAGCAGTGAGGGCTTCCTTAAGCGGTGAGTTGATTAGCTTGCCCAGTCAGAGTCTGTACCTAATTCCAGGAATTGAGCCAAGTATGATAAATAAGGTTGAAGTTGTGGAATATCTATGAGACACTGTATAATCATTTGGACTGAAAAGAATCGAGATATAAAAGCATGACAGCAAGCAATATTATTGATCCAAGCCTCTTGGTTCCTATCAGCATGATGAAGGAAATGCCAGCAGCTCTGGTTCAGTTTGCTGGGGTCTCACTTTTGTGCTCCTTGAGGAGAAGAAAGTATAACAATATTTGACAAAAGTGGGAGACAGAACCTATTTGGCAGGTCACTGCTGATGCGCAATCGTTTTGGTCTCGTTTGGTCTGTACCTTAGGGTTAGTTTTCTCCTACAGTCACCTTCCACTTCTCAGACCCTAATAGAACCCACTATACAGGCAGAAGAGAGGTGCCAGGGTGGCAAGGACAAAAATCTCAGCAGATAATCTAAACACAGTGGTCAGAAATGAAAATGTCCCAAATCAAATATGATAACCACGAACAGGGCAGACAATGTTTTGAGCACGTGAGAGGCTACCACGGGAAGGGGAAGGTAGGGGAGCAGTCTACAGTGTGGGTCCCATTCTGCAGAAACAGGCAGGTGTCTGTGAAAATGAGCAGGTGTCATGTGAATTACTAATACAAATGCTGAGGCGGTGAAGAAGTGTGTTCATTGGCCAGCCTGTGTGTGGGAAAGAGAAAGATGAATGGGGAGGAAAGTCCCCACTGTGTGCATGTGTGTTTGCTGGGGGGAAGGGAATGGAGACCCAAAATTGTAACAATTGGTCTCAGCATCTGACAGAAAAAAATAGGCGGTGTGTCTGTGTATAAAATATATAGTACAGGGAAACAAAATTTAAACTGAACTTCGTTTTAGTCATATGGCCCACTGCCAGCAAGGCTGTTTCTGGGATCTGAGAACAGTCTTCTCCAATTCACTCAGTGGTCAGTATACTCAATATCTACTCAATAGTCTTCTCCCTATGTGTTACGTCTTCCACCTTCAAAGGTCTCTCTTCAGACTTAAACTTTTCAGGTCCTTTGGGGACTGTCAATCCTTCTCCTCAGCTAGAGGCACATGTTCTCTATCACAAAGCCCCCTCTTCCTTTCTCTGGTTGTCTCTGCAGCACCAACAGCAGTGACATCAGAATTCTGGATGGATCCGGTTCTCTTCCCTCAAACTCCCAGGGGGCTCCAAGGATCTCTCACGTTTTCCCATTTACTCCCACCACCCCCTGTGAAGCAGGAAGGGGCTTTGATGGATTCTAAGCAGAGGAACCGAGGCGCAGGCATCAGCGAGCCCACCTCAGGCTACAAATCTGTGGCACGGTCAGGACCAGCGTGCGGGAGAAGCAAAGGGCGGCCGTGGCTGGTTCCTGGGGTGCTTCGGCTCTGTGCCCCTCCTTTGGGCTTACTGAGTATTACATTTAGGTCTCTTCACCATGACAAATTTTAGATTTTTCTTAAACCCAAATATCACATTTAGTATCTTTGTTTTTTTGGGTTCAACAATTTCCCCCTGAAAATCAATAGGTAAATGGAAGTTTTTATATACCCAAAGCAGTCAAGACTGCCAAGGAAGAATTTAGACAACACGAGACCAACTTAATACTTACTAGCAAGGACACCACCCAGGCTTAATACTTGAAATTTGATTTAGGATATAAAAGTGAGGAGACACAGCACCCAACAGGACATCAGTGTGCCATCAGGGGTTGCTTACTATGGAAACCTACTGGGCAATGGTCTTTGATAACACTTCTCATTCAATTGTAAAGAAAATTTTTTCACCCCCCAACTCTTT